AGCCTCCGACAAGATTGTGGAGTTGAACCAAGGAGTTTGTAAGGGCAAGGAGATCTCCTACTTCGTGAAGATCTAGCGCTAGTGAGGCAAGTCCTTCGTGGGAGACAGCCATGGCGGGATAGACAAGGTTGCTTCTTTGTGGAGCCTTCGTGGGTGGAGCCCTCCGTGGACTCGCGCAGCCGTTACCCTTCGTGGGTTGAAGTCTCCATCAACGTGGATGTACGATAGCACCACCAATCGGAACCACGACAAAAACATATGTGTCTCCTATTGCGTTTGAATCCTCCAAACCCTTCACTTTGCATTCTTGCAAATTGCATGCTTTACTTTCCGCTGCTCATATACTCTTTGCATGCTTGCTTGAATTGTGTTAAGATTGCTTGACTTGTCCAAAGTTGCTAAAATCTCTCAAGAACTAAAATTGGCAAAAGGATAAGTTTTTATTTGGTCAAGTAGTCTAATCACCCCCCTCTAGACATACCTTCGATCCTACATTACCCCACTTGCGACTAAACCACCATGCGGTTATGCCTCTAAGTCGTGCCTCGACACGTGGGAGATATAGCCGCATCGTGGGTGTTACAAGTTGGTAATCAGAGTCATCCTTGACTTAGGAGCCCCCTGCTTGATCGAATCATTGACATTGTTGAGTCTAGAACAAAATGTTTTCAGACTTAGGATTATATATATCGGAGAGTAGGATTCTTTTTACTCCTTAGTCCCTTTTTCGCTCTGGTGAGGCCTCCTGACGTAGAAGTTTTGACGTTTCTCTCCTCAAATTTCACCAAAAGATTTAGGATCACGCAGGTATCTTCGAATCGTTCCGATAGTCTTGTCACGAGAACATTGTTGTTGGTGCCTCCTGACATTTAGGGGTTGTGGCAGTGTCCCGGGGAGTTGATCTCCGAGGTGTTGTCGTTACAATTTTATCGTTGCAGTTCTGGAGTACCTGAATTTTCGCCGACACAAAAAAATCTCTTTTATGCAGTTGTTGGTGAGATAACCTTGACGCCACCCAGTACTAGGGCGGGAGTTCGGGAGTATTGCCATAACTCGTATAACGGATGCTTTTCGAAGGTTGAGGTACATGATTTTCGAAGGTTTCTTGATTATGTGGTGAAGGATGGATATAGTTGGATGTAGGAATTGTTAGTTTGCGTGAGTTATTATGCTTCCCCTGTATCCCCAACACCTGATTGCATAACCAGAAAATTTCGGGAGTTTGTAAGTGGGAATTCAAGTAGCTCCTAGAATATCTTTCCGACAAATGCATGATATGGGATTGGGTGAATCTCTATCATATGTATTTGTTCCGGCTTATTCTGCAAGCCAAATCCTTTGTTTTTGTTTTGATTGTGGTATTCGAGTTGCTTCGAAGTCAAGTGTTGAATCCATACCTTTTCCGAAGCGGTGTTCTCATATTTCGATATGAATGTAAATCCTTTCAATCATCAAGTTTGCCATCTCAATTTATTCTCAACCGACGTGCTTCTCTTCAAGTTAAGCCGATCACTTCAAAGTCTGCAAGATCAACTCTAAGTTTTCTCAATGGTGTTTGTTTCATCCGTCCCAAGTTGTCTTTGTTTTCCCGCCCTCCCACCCTTTTCTTCAAGGACTTAGATTTCTTAATCAAGTATCCGTTTTATTGATGGGAAGGCCCTCCATTCTTTTCCGTCAATGTTCTTTTCCGATTATTCTCAGGAAGATACTAACAGAGCTTGAAGTTATCATACTTCGTTCTCTTTTCTTTTCCGGTGGATTCAATTCATGCTTTGTCAATCATATAGTTTTTCTCATTTCAAATGTGTTCTCATGTCGGTGCACCTCTTAATCATCCACTTCTCGCTATTCAATCGTTCCGGAGTGCTCAAGATATCTCGAAGATTCATTTTCCACTCTGCATTCGTTCAAGCTCTTTCGAGGATGTTATCTCATTCAAGCCATTTAATTCAATCGACGTAATATGTCTTTTAGATTGTTCAACGGTGTATCTTTTGAGTGGGCCCTAACCCACAGGTCTTTTCCCAGGATCTTACCTGACTCTTCTAGTTTTTCGGAGGTATTCTCAAATTCTTGTCGAAGTTTGACATAAGAATTAATCATCATCAGTCAGATGGTTTCTCCAAGATCTTTCAAATTCTTTTCATTGTTGGATCAACCTCTTCGCTTTTCATTCTACCGGGGTGTCTCATCAATTATCATGGTCGTGTTTCCCGTCGTCATTCTCTGATTTGAAGACCGAAGAGGAGTTCCTCTTAAATCCTTACCCGTTATTCCAAAGATTCATGGTGCTAGCTTTATGCCATCCTCTCATCATTGTTTTCGATTGTGAGAATTTTTTTCACCCATCCGGAGCAATTCAGGAGTGTTTTCAGTTTGATTCTCTAGAGCCCATCATCTCAGAATTATTCACTCCAGCTTTCAGCTCTCGTTCTCCAAATCATACCAGTGCATCATTCAAGTATTCTCTAATCAGCTCGGGATCACTTCGTTCAGTTGCATCTAAATTCTCTCAAGTATCATCGTTCATTTTCTAATTCTTCCTAGTGTTTCGTTATCTTTTCTTTGTTCATTTTTAAATCCTATCGGTGGTTCATTGAAGATCATACCAAGATTACACTATATCTCTCCTTAATCCTTGTCAATGAGAATGAGTAGTATGCCAAATCCATTGTGTGTCATCAAATTAATTGATGAAGGATAAGCATAATGTAATTCTTATTCTTGTTTCATCGGGTAAAAATTCAATTCCTTATTCTGGAGGTTCATCAAAATTCTTGATTTCATTTGTTCATCTTTCTTTCCGGAGTTCCAAGTTTACTCGGTTATATCATCGGGAAGCTCCATCTAATCAATGCAAGGATTCATCTTATTCTTTTCAAGTTTCATTTCCTTGCGACCTTCTTTTATCTATCCAGAGTTCTTCGAGAGTTTCTTCATGGTGGCTCATCAATGATTCTTTTCATTTTTCAATTGTTCTTCAAGATCTCTATCGAAGTTATGATCCGCCAAGCTATACTCAAAGAATAAACATGGTGTTCAACACATGTCTTGTTTTGAGGAGTTCAAGCATTCTTCATCTTGCATTCCAAAGTGCAATTCTTTCTACCTTATCTATTGAGATGGTGTTATATCATTCTTGACAGTTTCTTTCATGTTTCATGGTTGATAAGTTGTCAGGAATGAAATATTTAAACCCATCATTTTCTTCCTTAGAGTTACCTTGGTATAAATTTCACCTATAGCCTTCCCTAAGGAACATTGCTAGTGTGGTGTGTATCAATGATCCAAGTTTTCTCCGATCCTCTCGGCAGAAGAAGTTTTTCATCTCCTCGTCAATCTAAAGCAAGCCCTCAACAAGCTTGTTCTTCTCGTTGTTGATTCTTCAACAACTCCATTCAATCCTTCTTTCTAAGGATGCTTTCTAATTCGTTGGTGGTAGAAGTTATCATTTTCTTCTACTTTCTTTCAGTCCAATGATCTATCTTCTATTCTTTCTTCCGGAGGCATTGTGATGTTGCTCTCTTCAATTATCATCTTGAATTATGAGGATCGTCTTCTTTTCGTGCTTATCCATTTAACTGGAGTGTTTTCAACTTTGTTCATATCCTTTGTATTTTTTTCTCAAAATTGTTCAGCCTCGCAAGGTTCGTGGTTTCACTCGTTTATCCAAGAAGCGACTTAGTTTTACCTCTTCTCTTCCTCTTCCGTTTCTCTCCGGTGCCATTCTTAGATCTCGGGATGAGATCCTCTTGTAGTGGTGGAGTGTTGTAACCCCTCGAGACCGACGCTCCAAACGGCTTCCATGTTTTTCATTGTTCTCATGTGTTTCGTTTGTCTGTTGTTTCTTCATAGAATCATTTGCATTGCATCATGTCATCATGTAACCCTTTTTAAATAACTCAACTATATAAATTGCATAAATCTTTTGATCTATTTAAATCGAAGGAATTCACAATGTGAAATTCTCTTTAAAACATACCAAAGTCTCCTACTATTATTAGGGAGCTATAATAAATATTCCATTCTTTTGGAATTAACCATAACACACGTGCAAAAATAATCCTCATGCCTATTCCAGTTCGAGATTGACCTTCAAATCTTGTCCACAATTCTTTATCTCTTTTATCGAGGCTCCTCTAAAAACCGAACCTTTTTGGACCTTCTCTTTACCAAGTCCTAGTTCAATCCCAGTTGAATTAAATTTAAATGAGTTTGAATTTACATCTTTTAATCTTGGCCTTTTCTATTTTCTCGGAACAAACTCATTTTTATGAGTCCGGGAAACTTAACCACATGTCCAAATTCTTCCTCTAACCTCCTATTCTCTCTTTTACTTTCTCTTAATTCTCTATTATTAAAAAAAGGAAATAGGGGAGAGGGAGAAGAGAGTCCAGCCCAGCTGGGCCTCTCACGGGCCCAACCTTCCCCTCAGCCCATCAGCCAGCTAGGCCTCCTGCCTGCACCTAGGCCCATTTGCCCACCAGAGGCCTAGCCGACCCCCTCCTATTCTAACCCTAGGCCCGACCGAACCCTCACCTCAGCCTCTCCCTCGTTCCCTAGCGCCGCCTCTCCCTCATCTCGATCTCTCCCTCTCCCTCGCGTGCAAGCCCACCACCGCGTCCACCCAAGCGCGCCGCCTCGCCGACCTCGCTCACCACCGGCCACCTCGGTCAGCCTCTGACCATCTGCACGCCGAGCCCTGCCTGAGCTGCTCCAATGTTGTCGCCTCGCCATGGAGCCGCATCGCTCGGACCCCTTCTGCGCGCCATGGCTGTCGCGTGTCCTCTTCTCCGCCTACATTGCCGGTGACCACGACCGCACCTCCTCTCCGCTGCCTCCTGCGGCACCCCTTCACCTTGCAAGACCAGCATGGCCGCCGGCCATGGAGGCTTCTGTGCTAGCCCGCAGCTTCTCCTCCACACCCTGCTCATCCTCCCGCGCCAACACCCTCCTTCGGCTGCTCACGCCTGCAGCTTCCTCCGCGAGCTCGTGCAGCCATGGCCGCCACAAGAGCCTCGCGCCCGACCCCCTTGCCAAGGCCATGGACGCTCGTGTCCCCGACCTTGCAGTTGGCCGTCGTCCGTTTGTTGCGCGTTGCTCCCCTGATTCACTCGCTGCTGCGTACTTCGTTCTTAGACACATGTGCCCGTGTTGACTCCGGTGAGTCCAGCACCCTGATCCACCATTGCCATGGCCTTGCATCGATTTGTTCTTGTTGTGGTCATGGAGCCATTGTACCATGGCCAAGACCGAGACCCCGTGAACGTCAAGTTCTTCCACGACGCCCGAACGACTACAGGCCGAAACGCCAAGTCCCACTTTGACAAGTGTACCTCTACTTCGGATTCGCCAAGTACCGCAACACCGAATGCACAACTACCATCGACCCTCAAGACCACAAGTACCCTTTAGATACACCAAGTGTACGACTACGCCCGGTGATGCAACAAATACCTCTACCGTCGATCCTCGAAGGCACCATGGACGTGAAGTTCCTCGCCATGAACCACTACCGTTGACGTGTATGACTACTTTCTGAACGTGTACGCGACGACCCCGGAGACCTATGTTGCGCCAAGTACCCCCTCGTGGACCCGAACAACTATAGGAAAACATGTACCACTACCGTTGAGGACCGATAGTACCATTATTTCTACTACCATCGTGGAACGACTACTTACTCTACTTCCCTCGACGAACTCGAACCACCCCGGAAATGCACGCTCCGAAGGTATAACCGCCGAGAACAATCGCTCGTGGATGAATGCATCTGTTGTATGAGATGCATGTTGAGATGTTGTATCCGCCCGTGAACGATTGTCATTGTCACTCGTTTCCATGCCACTGATGTCGTGGATCTAAGTCTGACAGTAGAGTGGGGGGTAGGTATGGAGAGGCAAGGTTCTAGCTATGGAGAGGTTGTAAACACAAGAGATGTACGAGTTCAGGCCCTTCTCGGAGGAAGTAAAAGCCCTACGTCTCGGAGCCCGGAGGCGGTCGAGTGGATTATGTGTATATGGATTACAGGGTGCCGAACCTTTCTGCCTGTGGAGGGGGGTGGCTTATATAGAGTGCGCCAGGACCCCAGCCAACCCACGTAATGAAGGGTTTAAGGTACATTAAGTCCGGGGCGTTACTGGTAACGCCCCACATAAAGTGTCTTTACTATCATAAAGTCTACTTAATTACAGACCGTTGCAGTGCAGAGTGCCTCTTGACCTTCTGGTGGTCGAGTGAGTCTTCGTGGTCGAGTCCTTCAAGTCAGTCGAGTGAGCCCCTCGTATGTCGACTGGAAGGTGATCTCTTCTAAGGGTGTCCTTGGGCAGGGTACTTAGATCAGGTCTGTGACCCTACCCTAGGTACATGACTCCATCATTAGCCCCCGAATGGATTGAGGCTTGAGTGATGAAGGAGTTGATGCTGTTTCCGATTAGCCTTCGCATACTGGCCGTGCGTTGTTTTTGAACCAAAAAATCTCTTTGTTGATAGTGAACAACTTTTCTTCGGTCGACTCGATCCATTCTTTTCCTTCGCCGAGTGATCTTTTGGACTTCGCCGATTTCCGAGCGACGGATCGCAGGAAATCCCGCGTCGGGCAGACCGATCTGCCGTTCGCGGATTCCGCGGGATACGAAATTTGGGGAAGTGCGCGAAGCGGAGCGGACCGCGGCGCTCGGACGGGACAGAGCATAGATGCCTCGATCTCCGCGCCGCTTTTTTCGCCACGTATCGCGTCCGCGCAACTGTTTCAGGATATGATTAGATCGACCGGGCCCACCTGTCATCCACTCGGAAGGGATCTTATAAACGCGTCCGGCGAGGGTTTTTTGAGCAGTGCTTCAGCATTCTCTCCCTGCTCCCTTCGTCTTCGCCCAACGCGCTCGCTCTCGCCTCCGCACAACTTCTCCTCGCGCGTCTCGCCGACAGCCATGGTCAAGGAGAAGACGGCAGCGCTGGAACGCGTGAAGAAGGCGTCGGCGATGGAGAAGGCGAAGGAGAGATCCACCAGTCGTGGCGGGTCTTCGTCTAGATCTCGCCTGCCGAAAGGCTGGGTCCAGGGAGATTGGATCCAATCGACCATCACGGAGACGGATCTCCTCGACATGGCCAACGAGGGCCTGATCCCTCATGGAGCGGCAAGGCTTCCGGGGAAAGAGTGGCAGCCCCAGCTGGAAGAGGGTGAGTGCGTGCTTCTGGCTACCCATGTCGACCGCGGATTTTCTTTGCCGCCGAGCGTTTTCTTCCGTGGTTTCTTGAACTTCTTTGGAGCGCAACTCCACCACTTCACCTCGAATTCTATCGCCTATCTTGCCGCGTTTGTGTCCATGTGTGAGAGTTTCCTGGGTTGTCGACCGCATTGGGGTTTGTTCAAGCACATATTCACGTGTCGCTCTCAGACCGTGAAGAAGGCGAGCCCAGGCGACGAAAAAAGCCGAGTTATCCAAATGTGTGGGGGTCTGGGGATCCAGGTGAGGAACAAGAGCACCTTCCCAGCCATGACATTTCCTGAGTCGGTCAGAGGCTGGCAGTCGACCTGGTTCTACTGCCAGGATCAGTCGACGCCGGGGCAGTCGAGTGGACTCCCTCAGTTCACCATGGGCCGAGTGAGCAAGCCCTCCTCTCTGAAGGTGATTCCGGAGGAGAAAGCTGACGTGAAGATGCTGATGGAGCGTGTAGTTCAGTTGGTTCGGGAGGGAGTGACGGGTATGGATCTCCTGGAGGTTTTTCTTAGGCGTCGTATCCAGCCTCTTCAGTTCCGGAGCCATTGCATGTGGTTGTACTGCGGGACTGAGGATGTGACTCGGGTCAATCCAGAAGCAGTCGACGATGCCACTCTGGAAAGGTGGATGGCCGCTGTTACTGGGAACAAGGATAACCCTCGCGGAGCTAGAAGGATTCCTCCGCTCGACCACCACAGTGATCCAAACAAGTTATGTCTGCTCCACTTCCCATTGTATTCTTGTCACATTTATTTCTGTTTTCTCTGCCGATCGGTCGACTAATCTTTGTCTTGTTGTCTATCAGGCCCTCACTGAGCTGTACTCGATGCCCAATGGAGCACAGGCTCCGACTGAGGAGGGAGAAGCGAGCGGGGGCGAGAGCCAGGAGGAGGAGTGAGACTCAGACGCCGCTGAGGATGATGATGATGATGATGATGATGACGATGATGATGATGATGATGAGGATGAGGAAGAGGAGGAGGAGGAGGAGGTTGTACCCCCGTGCTCGGAAAGGCGGTCGAAGCTTGTCCATGACCCTGCGACTGAACGTGGCAAGGGGGTTGCGACTGTCACACAGTCGACCAAGCGCCCTCGGACCACCTCTCCGGTGCCGACTGAAAAGGCGTCGAAGCAGCCCAGGGCGGCCCCGTCAAAGCCGACCAAGCTCCTGCCGAAGATGAAGGTGTCCATCCCCACCATATCAGGGTAATCATGTTGCTTAAGTCTTCTTGTTTTGTGCGAACTTTATCTCTGGTTGGCGCTGGAGTTAGTCGACTGATTCTTTGGAGTTGCAGTGCTGCTACTTCTGAGACCTCAGCCCGGGCTGACGACCATGAGATGGAGGACGCAGCAACCTCAAAACCTGGTACTATACTCTTAACACCGTTTCTAGTCGACTGACTCATGATCTCTAACTCTGATTCTTTTCTGTAGCTCCATCCAATGTCGTTATCACTCTCCCTGATGATGATGAAGATGAGGAACCGCTGAAGCCCAGAAGGAGTAGGAAAGCGTCTGCCGGCAGGGTGTCCCAGGATGTGACGGTGCCGGAGACTCTGGTCGCGGAGGAGGAGAACACCACTCGACACACTGTGTCCTTCGCAGATCCACTGACGAGTGCTCTGCAGCCCTCTCTCTTCACGACGCACCACGTCCCAGAGGACCAAGCTGGCGCCGCGAAGGAGGCGATACGCCAGGCAGGGATCATGATGGAGCAGTTGAAGACCATCCGGGATGCGAGCCAGGCAGCTTACGACGCCAGTTCCGCCCTTCAAAGCAATGTTCAGGTCAGTCGACCACCGCTTGTTTTCTTTCCAGAATTTATAGTAATCACCCAGTGGGTGTGTCGATTTAAACTCCGTGATAATGGGGGCACGCTGAGTGCACCCGCTGGGTGTACCCCAAGGCTAAGGTCGACTGCTGGCAGTCGGCCTTAGGCTTTATAAGTTCAGTCTTTCTGTCATTCGACTATGGCGAATGGATTTCGCAAACCGGTGGGGGCACGCTGAGTGCACCCACTGGGTGTAGTCCCCAAGGCTAAGGTCGACTGCTGGCAGTCGGCCTTAGGCTTTATAAGTTCAGTCTTTCCGTCATTCGACGATGGCGAATGGATTTCGCAAACCGGTGGGGGCACGCTGAGTGCACCCACTGGGTGTAGTCCCCGAGACTGTGGTCGACTGCTTGCAGTCGATTACAGTCTTAAAGAATACATCTTGTTTTTTTTTTGAGGTCGACTGGTCGACTCTGTCTTCAATAGGATTAGTGGGGGCACGCTGAGTGCACCCACTGGGTGTAGTCCCCGAGACTACGGTCGAATGCTTGTATTCGGCTGTAGTCTTAGAAACGCATGCTTTTTCCTGTTCCACTCGGAAGTGAATTATCTTTGACATTTAGTCGATTGATTCTTCGCAGAGATCCTGTGACCTTGCGGCTCGCTACACTGAGCTTGAAAACAAGCACATTCAGCTCGAGCTGGATTTGAAGCTGGCTCAGGAGAATCTGACGAAGGCAAAGGAGGAGACCAAAGGTATGTTTGGTGAGACCTCGACGACTGCTTTTTCCCTTTATTTGTTTCAAAATCTGATCTTGCTGTAACTTGCAGGTAAGGTGAAGGAGGCCCAACGGAAAAAAGACCTTGAACTAGCTGAGAGGATCAAGCTTGCTGACGAGAAGTTAGCTTCAGTCACCAAGCTTGAACAAGAAAATACCAATCTGAAAGCTGCTCTTGGGAAGAAAAATGATCTGGAGGCCTTCCTGAATGGTCTTGCCAAGAAGCTGTTCCTTATGCTTGAAGGTAAACCTTTATGCTCAGCAATCATTTTCAACTGTGATTTTTCCATTCGACCGTTGCCTTGACTCGGTGATCGCCCTTGCAGAATTTTGTCAAGATTTTGAAGAAGAGACTAGCCGGCTGGAACCAAACCTTGACCCCGTCAATTC